ATAATATATATACACACACACATTACATAGTGTTTTGAATAAGAAATGCCCACGGATTTATTGCACGAAAAAATTGACTACCTATGTTGTCCTCATCTACATCATTTATTTATTTATTTTATTTTTTTGTTTTTGTATTATTATTTGTCCTCTTCCTACATCATAATTTGTCTGTGTTTTGTTTGGGGTGTCAATTGTTTGCATGTATAATCATAATTCATGATAATAGAATGATTTAATTAGATTTTTAATTCATAATATATATATATCCTTCATTTGATTTTAAATAAAATTAAAGATGATATATTATTAGTATAATAAATTCAACTAAAATTCGGGCAGGAAATTAAATATAAATTGGAACCACAAAAGAAAAGCTGTGGACAAGAAACAAATTAAACATTGATGAGTCGTTGCCTAAACTTGACGACATGTTTTAATTTCGTTTGTTGTGTATCACCATCTTTAGAGATGGCAAAATGCCAAATTCTTGCTAGCTAGCTCATTGCAATTTATTACACACACACACTCTCTCTCACACACACACACATATACATTCAATTATATAGGTGCTATAGTAAACGTACACTCTCGTATAATAGTTTGCGAATCATACGAGAGACGTAAACCTCACTAGGCTAACCATGCGTGACAAGCTCCACCTAGCGACAATTGACTATGAAATTTGAACCTGGATCAATTGAACCATGCTCCCTTGCTCCAACCGCTAGGTCATCCCTTGCAGGACGATGGGTGTGTATGTTTGTGTATATGCGCGTGTGTATCTAACAAGAAATATTTTCTGCAACGAAGATTGTCGAGTCGAAACTAGGATCAATGAAGGATTGAGTGTTAAATGAACATTACAACTATATAATATAACTAGATAACATTAATCAACAAAGCAATGCTTTTATTACCAAAAAATAAAAATAAAATACATCCGTAAACCACAAATTTTCGAGCCTGCAATATATGATAAAAATACGAGACAAAAAAATAGGGAACAAATAAGTTATAGTCAAACGAAAGTGGATTACAATCACCGGGAATTCCCCTGATTCTTCACTCCTATTCTAAAATCAATTCACGGGCTTAGAAGCTTATTTTTGAATCGAACGAATGATTTCATATCACACGAACACCTAAAATTCAAATATGTTATGAATTCGAGGCGGAGGCTCGAGACATGAGCTAAAGAGCTCGATATGTGTCTGGTTTTTTGTATGCACCGAACGCCTTATCTTATAGGCACATGTTAGAGTTTTTTTCATGCACCAGCTAGATTTTTTTGATTTGCAGCATGGGCCGGACATTTTAAGCACAAATATATTATGGACTTTAATTTGAAACCTAATTAATAACCAATTTATTTTGGTTATTAATTAGTCATTTATCTCAAAATTCTTATGTCTACAATGTCGAAAAAGTATTCTAAGCTTTATATTTGTATAAAGAACAATTTACAATTTCATTTCCTTATACATTTTTCTCAAATTCATTATTTATTTATATACTATAATATATTAAATACGTAACAATTAGCCACTGTGTGTAATATATAGATTTTTGTAGCTGACAAACTTGAGCTTATTATACTCGTTGTAGGCTTGTAGCTGTCACTGTTGTGTTGTTGTTGAAAACAATAATGATTTACCAAATTGCTTTATTTTTTTGGAAAATAAATAAATAAAAATAAAATATAAAAACCTCTAATATAATATTTGTACATACAAAAATTTGTTCTTTTCTCCACTGAAATTCCATGAAGTTTCCATGAAGTGGCAATATATATATATATATATATATATATATATATATATATATATATATATATATATATATATATATATATATATATATATATATATTAACTATGAATTTTAGTTAGGTAGTATTTGTTAAAAAGCTTTTTCTAAATTTGAATCTTAATGATCATTATAAGTAATATAAAAGATTAATTGTTCCACAAAGCTCAGACATTAAATGGTATCTTATTAATTTATTATTTTTTATATTATAAGAATTAAAAAAAAATATGTTTTAAATTAGTCAAAGTTATTCCATCTTACCATCTGCAAGTATATAATAATAATAAGAATTTAAGAAAATAAAAAATCGAGTGAAATTATTATGTAGGGAGACTAATTATTAGGTGTTGCATATTCTTTTCATACTGATTAACTTTAATCACCGCGTTTAATTAAACTAATATATTTAATTAAATGCAGTTTATTAGGGAAAACAAATGATAAAGGTCAAATGAAATGATGACTTGCGGTGGATATTTTTTATGATTGTTTTTAGATCATGGTACGCAGAAATTAAAGCTAATTAAATATAATCTGGCAAATATATTATTTAATTATTATATATTGATTTAAATAATTTTTTTAGATCATGGTACGCAGAAATTAAAGCTAATTAAATATAATCTGGCAAATATATTATTTAATTATTATATATTGATTTAAATAATTTGTGGCCAAATACAATGATGCACCCAGGTCCCAGCACTGTGGAATATAATAAGTTAAAAAATAAATTAAAAATATATATATTCATGATTTTTCACGAATTATTGATTTTCACGTTTTTTGTTTTTTGAAAAAAAGTGGGGAAAAAAACAAAAATAGAAATTTTGATTTTTCACGAATTATTGATTTTCACGTTTTTTTGTTTCTAGAAAAAAAATTAGGAAAAAAACAAAAATATTTTTGGCAAGGCATGAAAGCAACTAAGCAATGCTTATGTCCTTTGGAGGCAAGTATCTTCAACCAACTTATTATCACCTTCAGTGACTTTTTGTTGATGTATGTATAATTATATATAAATAGATTAATTCAAAAAAAAAAAAAGAAAAAAAAAACTAGGGATGTCGATCGGTTGGTTCTGGGATGTGTTTGTCTAAATTCGAGACCAGACTGCAGAATATAAAAAATCTAAACTCTATAGTTCGATCCGTTTGATTAGCCTAAATTCAAGCCCTTCCAATCCATATTTGAATATAACATGTTCGACCCGTCATACTCGTTAGAGCCAGTAAACAAATTTAACTACTCCAATTAATATAGTTCAATTTATTAAACTAAATTTATCTCACTAACACATTTTTATGTTCTCTCCCTTCCAAAACCTAAACGTATAATCACATTAATTATCTATATATAACCCTAAGCAAGAGCGAAAAAAGAAAAAAAAAACCGAAACTGTGAAAATTAGAAAACCCTAATTTTTTTGGAAGATAAGATAAATATTTATTAATAAATAAATATGTCGATTCTTATATATAGGATCAATTACTGTCACTTAGAATCGGCCTTGTCCTCAAATCAAATCTCCCTAACACGTAAAGTTCATGTCTACAATCCGCTGGTCATTTTAAACCCTAAATATATACAATAATTAACCATTCACTAAACACATACATATGGGTGTGTGTTATTATGTGTAGATCTACGGTTTAAAATTGCCTGATATATTTCACGGGATTCTAATAAAACGAAATCCGCCAATTCCGTACCCATTATCATCCATTCATCCTATGCACCTAATCTAATCAAATAATTAGCTTCTAATCCCAATCAAAATTAAGCTAATTAACCCAAAAATTTGACACGTGCCAAAACTATTGGGGCCCACATGGTCCATACCCGACACGCATGTGGACCCTGACTCCACGTGGGAGGCACCTAAATCTCACGAAATCCAACGCACCTGATTTAACCTCACAAAACGCATCGTGACCGTTGATCAAAGAAAGAGAAAGAAGAAAAGTCTTCCATATGGGCGGCTGAGCTTGTCTCTCAGCTGTCCCCTGTATGCCTAAAATATGCTGCAACTTCTGCCGACAACTTAACCTGCCTTTGTCCGAAATTCACGCGCTCAAAATACCAAGAATCTGGCTATAGATGCTTTACATTTTGAAATACTCAAATTAATTTTTTTACTAGTATTTAATTTAATTTATGCACAATCGTACAAGTATAAATATTTTGCACAAATTATATATTATTTTATGCAAATGATATAATATGATGTACTATTTTCTTTTCTTTTTTGTTTGATAAGAATAATATGATGTACTATATAACTACTCAATATGCATTGGATTCTATGAATAATTTAAAAATTGGCTAAAATACCCTTCTCATTAATTGTTTTACTGAGAGTTGTATTTCTGAACAATTGAGATTGGTAAGGATAAAATTGAGAAAAATAAATTAAATGTATCATTGGAATTATATTGTGACAAATAATTTAAAAAAAATCGCGAAACCGACAACACTACAAAAAATAATCTTTTGAGTGACAATATTTATTTACGCATAGTTAGCCAAAAAAATATTGTCACTAATGAGGAATCACTGAGTGGTGTTCGCAAAAATTTATTTAAAAACAGAAGTTATGGATTATGAGTTAAGTTAGTTTTAAGTGCTTATTTCGAAAAGTTGGAGATATTTGCAAATTTACTGGATTATAAACTTAAATAAAAAAAATAAGATCATGGGTGCTTAGCAAAATATATCATAAGATTGTTTATTTTAAGATAAACAAAAGAAAAAAAAATTATTTTACAGACACTTAAAAAATAGATTATGATTTATGAGCAAAAGAAAGATAATAAAAGTTTTTGCAAACACCACCTAATTCTATATTGTTGTCACTAAAAGATTAAATGACAACTAGAACAACTATTAAGACACTAAAAAAAATAATGTCAGTTAATATATGAATTTAGTGACAACTTTTGACATTATTACAATTAGGGTGCGACGACCGATGCCGTTTCTTGTAGTCCAAATTATTTGGCACATCCGGATGCGGGTTAACCCGTTTTATATCAAAACCCGAGAAATTAATGCCACTCTTATTGGAAACCCTCATCTATAAAAACACCCCTTTTATTTTCCTTTTGTTGTTATCGATCACCAAAAAAAACAAAGAACAAAGTTTGCTTTTTTTTACCCACATCTCCAAGAAACTGAAATTATAAAAGGGCTACAAAAGTTTGGGATTTGATTGAAAAATTCATTGCATATAATCAAGAAAATGGAAGTTGCAACAATGGCGGACAACGAAAGCCATCTAAATTTGAAGGCAACCGAGCTCCGATTGGGATTACCGGGCTCCACAGATCATCAAGAAACAGTGTCTCCGGTGAAGAATAACAAGCGGGCATCGCCGGACTCCGGCGAGGAGAGTGGGATAAAGTCCGTTATTTCCGCCGCCGCCGCCAGCTCCGGCGAGCGTGAAACTGCACCACCACCCAAGTATGACACTTCTTTATATATTATAATATTTGTATATGTGCGATAAGGTATTTATTTATGGATAAGTGATTTTGTTTGATTGTTGTGGTTTATAGGGCGCAGATAGTGGGGTGGCCGCCGGTGAAATCTTACCGGAAAAATAATATTCAGGCGAATAAGACGGCGGCGGAAACATGTGAAAGTGGGATGTATGTGAAAGTGAGCATGGACGGTGCAGCTTATCTCAGAAAGGTTGATCTGAAAATCTACGGTGGTTATTCGGAGCTTCTCGCTGCTCTGGAAACCATGTTCAAGCTCACCATAGGTATATACATACATATATATATGTATGTATATATATATATATATATATATATATATATATATATATATATATATAATTAGTTTTATGATTAATGTTCTCATTAGCCTGGGTCC